CCCTCTTTCGGACCACGGTGCGCGATGAATGGTATAATCAGCGGTCGCGTGCCACCCCACGGCCGAGTAGAGCAACAGAGACGATAACGGAAGGTGAAGATGGATAGAGTGAGAACGAAGGATGATAGAGAAATTCTCTCCCCAGCCTATCGTGCCTCGGCTATCATCGGAATCGAGAAAGAGAGACGAAAACGTGAAAAAGTCACTTAACATCCCCCTACCCTCCACGTTTCTTCTCCTTTCTCTTCGTGCACTCGTACTCTCTTCCTCGAGGGTTTGTCGTTCCCTTTTCCTGAAGCTGTTGGATTTTTGAACGAGGAAGCAACGTTATTTTCTACTTTTCCAGGGTTTTTCATTGGAATTCTGCGCAGGTTGCCGATGAAATAGGGAATGATACTTTTAGAAGACAATTTTGTAAAGAGAAGGTAAACTGGATAATTAGCAGGAACAGGAGTTTATTACAGGAGCTGTTTACATTTCATTTTTAATAGTTAACATTAGCGAATTTATATTTTCCTATGTTTTCTAATAGAATTCTTTTAGAAGGCAATTTTATTTAATACTTTCCACGGAGAAAAATGCAATAGTAGAAACAGAAAAGTAGCGAAATTGGGTGGTAGAGAGTTGGCTATTTATATTTGTGAATTTGTGATCCTTTAGGTTTTTCAATCCCTTGCTTTATAATAACGAATCACGCTCGTGATGTAAGTTATGGTTAAGATATTACAAACGTGAGACCTATTTGTACCTAGTAAACTTCCATTTTAACTCTAATTTCGGTTTTAATTTATAATTTTGTGGATTGTTAAATAAAATCTTCATCCTACAGTGCCTCGATCTTTTTCGTTTAACATATTATTAAAGCGATGGGTACTCGGCATCAATAAAGATAGCCATTTAAAAGTCATAAGGGAAAGGGTTAATGAAATTCTATGCAGGGTGTTGATGAAATGGTGAACGACTCTTTTAAAAATCAATTTTATTCAATGTTCCTCAAAGAGGAGATAAATTAAATACTGACAATTATTTAAATAAATGAAGCACCCACAGAAGAATAGAAAAATTAGGAAATCGTGCAATAGACAGTAGTTTAATCGTCAATATTAATGGACAGAAGAAAACTTCCGTATCATTTTCTGTAGAGCAGAAAATATCCACCATTTATAATGAAATAAGAAATATCTTCCGCTTAAAACTTCTTATAACACTTGTAACTAGTAGTTTACACTGTTTTTCCCTCAGACGGTAATTCAGTTCATTGTTAGCTCTAAGTTCATCTGTGAAAAAATGGAAAAATAGTACGTGCGTTAACAGGTTTGATAGGACAGTAGAAAACTTGGAAAATTGAATGAAAGGGTGTGCATTGTTTATATTTTACGCTCGACGAACAATAGCTCTAAATTTCCAAATTCCGTGACGAAACACTCCGCAAAAGGCGGGCGTGATGTTTGCCAGCGATACGGACTAATTGAAAGTGTCAACGTGCAGATAAGGGTTTCGTGCAACGTCGAGTATGAAAAGAGACGCGGTTCCCCTTTTCCAGCTCCTTTCTTCTCGTCGATGACCGATAAAAATCGCGTTCACGCCCTGCGAATGACGGAGAGAATGTGTAACGAGGGGTGATAAAGGAACGCCAGCAGAATGACAGTCGAGCGTG